AAGGTCGTAGCTGTGATACACGATAGATGCTAATACGTAGCTGTAACATAAATAACACAGATGTTACACTACAAGGTCGTAGCTGTGATACACGATAGATGCTAATACGTAGCTGTAACATAAATAACACAGATGTTACACTACAAGGTCGTAGCTGTGATACACGATAGATGCTAATACGTAGCTGTAACATAAATAACACAGATGTTACACTACAAGGTCGTAGCTGTGATACACGATAGATGCTAATACGTAGGCTGTAACATTAATAACACAGATGTTACACTACAAGGTCGTAGCTGTGATACACGATAGATGCTAATACGTAGCTGTAACATAAATAACACAGATGTTACACTACAAGGTCGTAGCTGTGATACACGATAGATGCTAATACGTAGCTGTAACATAAATAACACAGATGTTACACTACACGGTCGTAGCTGTGATACACGATAGATGCTAATACGTAGCTGTAACATAAATAACACAGATGCTAGAGCTACATCGGTATGTAGATACTAACGATAAATAACATAGAAGCTAATCTTTATATATGCTAATCACAATCACACCACAGAACGTAAACGTAACTTAAACAACATAGATGCTAAAGCTACATGTAACATCATAATATAGATGCTAAAGCTACATGTAACATCATAACATAGATGCTAAAGCTACATGTAACATCATAACATAGATGCTAAAGCTACATGTAACATAATAACATAGATGCTAAAGCTACATGTAACATCATAACATAGATGTCATGAGGAAATTGATCGTTCACTCCCCTCCCCCTCGCCCCGCGGCGACGGCGGCGGGGGGGGGGGAGTTAGGGGGCGCCACGATCGTGCGAGTACTCACAGTTGTCGAGAGTACAATCCCTCATCGATGTCTCCCTCCGCTGCGGATCCGTTCCTCGCCATTGTCGTCTGCAAAACACGCGCAAGAGAGAACATCACGTTAACGAACAACCGTCCGCCGCGCACGCGAGAGAACATCACGTTAACGAACAACCGTCCGCCGCGCACGCGAGAGAACATCACGTTAACGAACAACCGTCAGCCGCGCACGCGAGAGAACATCACGTTAACGAACAACCGTCAGCCGCGCACGCGAGAGAACATCACGTTAACGAACAACACCCATCAGTGCACGCGACCACTCCACGTTAAACAGATACCGAGAGCGTAAAAATGCGGCCCCACTTCCGGTAGAAAGACGTAAACGATAGAGAGATGCAATCGCCGATTCCTGCTCGTCACGTAACTTTTAAATCGGATGCTCTAACCTCTCGGGTGGCGGCAGACGTGAAGTGTGACTAGCTAACGACGTTCGCTACGCGCTTTCTTCGCGAAACGTGGCAGAAACAGAAATCGAGGATTGAACACACGGCAAATCAAGATGGTCGCGCGATATCTGCACGTGCAAAGTCCAGGAAGTTGAAACTCCAACTTAGATAGTGAAATTATAGTAGATAAAAACATTTGTTTGCCTACACCGACGCAGCGTACGCGCGCGTTAATTCACAGATCTGGTTCAATATTGACAGTCTGCGCACACGCGGCTCTTAGCCTTAAAATAACGGAAGGGGGAAAAAATGCATGCGACGGCGACGTAACAAACCATGCAGCAACACCATCCAGTGTTTGCCACTGAGCAGAAAAAGCTGTAGGCCTGCAGGGCCTATAGCTCCTAAAAGCTGCAGGCCTGCCAGCAAAGCTGTAGGCCTGCCAATTTTGGAGCAAATTACAGTAATAAAACAGCATATCATGTTCTTCCTTGTGTTTATTAGTCATTATCAATATCCATAATCATAATCCCACTGTTTTTCCTTCCTCTCGTCGGATGACTGTTTATGCTTCATTGCCGGGGGCTCACAATTAAGGAAACGCCCCATCGTTGTTATATGTAGCTCCTTGGTAACTACGACTCTCCACTTTGACAGCAGAGACAGACTGGTAGTCTGGTACACATCGGTAGCAATGTAGTAGCGTCTCATAACATTGCGAGTGGAGCACTCGACTGGCAACTTGCCCTTTAGTTTACTACACTGTGGTGCGCAGCTTGGAACAAGGTTCCAGGCTATCGCTCTTTCATTTACAATCAGGCTGCGCGAATATGCAGTGGGCGAACGCATTGTTTACATGTATGTCACAGTTTATCACGGATTAGTTTTAAAATAAATACCCCTGGAAGTTAACATGCAAGAAAAGATTTCTACATGTAACAGTTTCTCAGTGTTTCGAATTTTCGGTGATCAAATAGCTGTAGGATCAGCGGGCCTGTTTTATCAAGAAGCTGTAGGCCCGGCATCGAAACTGTCGGCAGCGGGCCGATGAGCCGACGTAAATTTCGAACACTGGCGCCATCTACCAAGCGTAACCGCCAACACAACAGTCTAACGTGACCCATCTCGCGCTGTACCGATATCGCGGAGTGCTGCGTGCCGACAGCGCCATCTACAGAGTGTAGCCGTCGATGCGACAGTCTAATGCAGCACGTCTCGCGCTGCACCGATATCGCGGAGTGCTGCGCGCCGACAGCGCCATCTACCGAGCGTAGACGCCTTTAAACGTGACCCGTCTCACGCCGCGCCGCGCCGATATTGCCGCGTGGTGGCGCCACCTTACCGAGTTAGCAGCGGCAGCAGCAGTGACTGGTGTCGTGACACCGTTGTCGGAAGTCTTGGCGGCGGCGGCGGGTGCGGTCTTGGATTCTGCGTCACCGAAGGCGTCCGTACGCTGCTTCTTATGTGGAGGTGAAACGCTGATGTCCGCTTGTGTCTCCGCCGGTGTTTTTGTAGCACTGGACATCTACACAACAATGTGACGATGATGTGGTGACAATAATGTGACAATAGTATAGAGATGACAGACTGGACATCTACACAACAATGTGACGATGATGTGGTGACAATAATGTGACAATAGTATAGAGATGACAGACTGGACATCTACACAACAATGTGATGACAGACTGTGACAATAATGTGACAATAGTATAGAGATGAACAGACTGGACACCTAGCACAACTAATGTGAACGATGATCGTGGGACAATAATGTGACAATAGTATAGAGAATTGACAGATCTGGACATCTACATCAACAAGATGTGACGATGTGATGCTGGGTGACAATAATGTGACAATAATAATAGCAGATGACGCGACTGGACTCTACGCAAACAATGTGGACAAGTGATGTGGTGACAATAATGGTACAATAGGATATAGATTACAGACTGGACATCTACACAATGTGATGACAGACTGTGACAATAATGTGACAATAATAATAGACGATGACAGACTGGACATCTACACAACAATGTGACAATGATGTGGTGACAATAATGTGACAATAATATAGAGATGACAGACTGGACATCTACACAACAATGTGACGAATGATGTGGTGGACAATAATGTGACAATAGTATAGAGATGACAATGGACATCTACACAACAATGTGACGATGATGTGGTGACAATAATGTGACGATAGTGTATATAGATGACAGACTGGACATCTACACAACAATGTGACGATGATGTGGTGACAATAATGTGACGATAGTGTATATTAGATGACAGACATGACTGACATCTTGTCTCTGCCGGTGTCTTTGTAGCACTGGACATCTGTAAACGTGATGACGGTGTGGTGACAATACCAACGTTGTAGCGATGACAATGTGACGACAGTGTAGTGGTGACAACAATGTGATGACAGACTGACAACACTGGACATTGCAGCACTGCACATCTGCACAACAATGCACGATGACAGACTGTGACAATATTAATGTGACGACAGCTTAGTAACAACAATGCAACAATAGTGTAGAGATGACAGACTGGACATCTGCAAACATGACGAAGACAACAATGACGACGCCGTAGCGGTGACAATGACAATGTGACGAGTGTAGTGATGATGGAGTGACAACAATGTGATGACAGACTGACAAAGATCTAATGACAAACTGACAATGATGTGACGACAGCTTATAGCGACAACAATGTGACAATAGTACAGCGATGACACAGTGTGACAACAATGTGACAATAGTACAGCGATGACACAGTGTGACAACAATGTGACAATAGTACAGCGATGACAGTGTGGGACAACAATGTGACAATAGTACAGCGATGACAGTGTGACAACAATGTGATGACAGCGTAATGATGTCATATGAATAGACTGCAAGGTCCCAATGTAGAATTGACATGTCACATGAGCCCACTAGCAATACTAACAGACATCGATTCCCTATATAATATTATAAATAACTTTCCTTGACATCCCCAATAGAAATTATAAATCTAATCATGATTAGTGAGAAATTAGCAACACGTTTGGAACGAATTGGACATGATCAAACTGTGGAACTTTCGTGAGCAAAAGACCAGTAATATACTTTCTTTGTCTTGCTATGAATATGATTCATATGATAAATCAGTAATACTGATATGAATCATAGCGAGACAAAGGACAGTCACAGTAGGTCCTACGATTTCAGACTTTGTAAAGCATGCAGATACAACAAACATTCAAAGACAAAAAAATATCATTTGCAAACACATAATTTGAAAATAAACAGTCCATATTTTGGTAAATAATTTTAAAGAGTTATGGTATATGACTCAAAACGTAACTGACAAATTATTTTACGTCGACGATGAGTCCGTAGGCGTAGTAAAATTGAAATCCGAACACCATTTTAGTTTGACTTATAATAAGTCTCAGAAAGAAGACAGACTAGCTACAAAATAACTAAACTAATAAAAGGAAATACGCCATAATTTTATTATTAAATGACTACTTTGCGCAACCACATTACAATATTGGAACCACGTAAACAAATAACACCGAAATCGGCTTGAAATCGACAAAGAAAATATAACACAAACCTCTTGAACAGCAATATGGCGGGCCACCCAATAGAAAAGGTCGCATATGACCCTAATGATTCACCATCTACGAAACGCCTCATGCGAAACACTGCACACAGTGAGTTGCACTTCTATTTCATCCATTTATATGAATATTTACGCGGGAAATTGTCTTTTGCGTTTTATCAACACATATAAACACTATTAGTATTAGTGGGTTATATTCACAACGCATAAAGCAATTCAACGTTGTAAGAATTTATAGTGAGTAGTGAGTACAGGGAAAATAAAATAACGCACTCACGGAAAATTGATCGCTATGCGAAACGCGTGAAGAAATCGTTGCGGGAACCTATATACCTTTTCTTCCGCCGAGAGTTTCTTTTTCCCAAAAACAACTCCCATTGCCGGTGTACATGATTCAAATGCACCGCTAGTTTTGCTCTCGATAGGCTGTAGCTATATTCCGAGTCAAAATGTCAACATCAGTCTGCGCAAGCCGTGAACGAACAAATACAACAGTAAAATTATCTCGGCAGAAAAAACGATGAACAAAATCACATTTATTGCGCGCATTTCGGCTCCCCCGATGAAATCGAAATTTCACACAATCCGTCAACAGCTGGTGGTACATATACTCCGCACGCCGCATATACACTGGTATACCTATACAGCTGTTCTTACATGCACGCAAAATAATGTATGTGTTCACAAATGGAGCAGTCAAAAAACTGATTCCGTACTCAGAACATACAATGTTCTCAAATCAAATGTCCCCACATGACGTCACAATGGTTGAAGAGCACTAGCTGCATTGCACCGCCTCCATTATTTTTGCAGCTGAGAATTCATGGCAGGCGCAGTATTATTTGATATTGTCCTGATATTGTTGTTGCTACGTAACCAAGCAAGGGTAGATTGCAAGCGAAGGCGTGAATCAATAAACCACACGGCAGTTTTCCCCTGCAACAAACCCGCGGCACACGTATATCGAGCGAGTGAAACAGTCTCGTACGTACGTACGCAATCACGTTAATACGTTCACTACTCGCAACGATACGCGACACATCATAATTATAATAAATAATGCATTTTTAATATAATAAAACACACACCATCGCCAAAGTTTGCGTGCGCATGCAAACTAAATTTGAGAATATATTTTTCCGCACGCCCTTAAAACAACGTACGGCTGTATTTTGTGTGTGGCGGCGGCGGCGTCTGTGGAGAAAGAAGCACGGATACCGAGACACGAAAAAATGCCGCTTCCCGGCGATTCCAATAAGAGGGGCGTACAGGGGGCGGGGGTACGGGAGACGGGAGAAAAGGGGGCGGGGAGCGGAAGGGAAAGGAGAGAGCGAGAGAGAGAGAGAGAGAGAGCGAGAGAGAGAGAGAGAGAGAGCGAGAGTGCGCGAGAGAGAGAGAGAGAGAGTACCAGGTATACTAAGTAGAAAAAAATAAAAAAAATCTATAGCACGAGAAATAAATACATGAGAAAATACATTGTACAGGATAAACATATATATTACGCAAACTGTCAGAAAAACTATTAAAATGACATTCAAAAAAGAAAATACAAAATATAAAGGATCATGGAGGTGTTGAGGGAGGGAGATAAGAGGACAGGGGAGGGAGGTGGGAGGAGAGCGGGAGGGAGGCAGGAAGAAGACAACCCCCTGTACCCCCTCCTTTATATAATAATGCTGATTGTCACTGTGTCCCTGCCTCCTAAACCCTATAAATAGTAAAATAACTACACCGTGACTGCCCCAGCCCGTCTGTGAGATGGAATAGTCTAAAGCAGGCACGTAACCAGCCAAAAAATAAACTACTTCCAGTACTGACATGTCCTTAGTTAGGGCACAGAGCGAACGTAGACTCATGGCAAACACCGTCAACTCCTGAACCGACTACTATGAATACACGCGTAGTTCGCGCGCAGAGGGGATATCATTGCCACGTCAAATATGACATCCTCGCGCCATCTATCGGTAGAAATAATTCATATGGGCACATTGTATGTTGTGTGTAACCGTAAAATGCATTATTAAATGTATTATAATACTCTAAAACGTTTTTAACGTAGAGTGAAATTAATATAATTACAGTACTTATACAAAACAACATTTACTGGATAAGATTGGTAAAGGGTCAGCCGTGAAATTCCCATCCTACACTTCGATGTATGTATTTCAATAATGTAGCCGCGACTATAATCGAATATGACATCCTCGCGCCATCTATCGGTGGAAATAATTCATAGTAGATGAAGCTTATTACGAATTGTCGTATTTTGCTACGAAATGCCAGTTAACTGCCGATATAGCTGTAATGTAATGTACCAGTTTGCGGTCTTGTGACGTAAACCATGGTTGTCCATGTTGTGCCGAGTTGATAATATAAAGAATGTTGGTTAACGTAAGCATGACTTGTCAGTTTATTTTTCATCTTGTATCGTGTAATCTACTGTGATTTGTTTATACCAAGTTTTCCGATAACTCACACATGCAGACACTGCTAAGAAACGAGGCAGGCAGTGCTGGCCAGTGTTAAAGTGTAGAGGTGACAAACGTATCAGATCAACTTTTTTTCGGAGAGAGTTTGTTATAATTACTGCATTGTGCGAGGAAATAAAACAACATGAGTAGCACACGGTTTGGACAAATTTCACATCACCTATTCGGTTCACTTTTATTTACATTTAGACATACCAAACACTACGTACAATGTAATGTATTTCTTCAGTGTCGTTTTGACAGACATTGACAGAAATGAAGTGGTTTCTTTTAACAAGTCGATGCACTTTACACACTTTACGCGACAGCTACAACGATATCACATAAGGCTGATCATCTAAGCGAGGATGCAGTTATTAGACAATTTTTGCTTAATTGTCAATATTAATTGTCATATATATTGTCTTATTTGCAATGATGCAGTTATTAGAGGAGAATGCTTACGACACGAGATCTAACAGGCGTGTGTACTGTAACTCGACCGCGAGGGGCGCGCATAGAGAAGGAGCCGATTGCCAAATACTATAGGTCACGTTACTCTCTCTCTAGATCTCCCTCTCTGCGCTTGCTGCTGATCACCAGGAATCTTCTTTGAACTGGTTTGGTTTGGCCAGGGTTCCGTCGTCGGGGCCCAGGTCGCGCCGCGCTCTCTTCTTCTTGTTACTGAAACGCAGCGAACGGAGGAACTGTTATTTATTCGTCATATACATCTCTCTCTTGCTCGTTCACTCTCTTTCTCTCTCCTGCTCCCTCCTATCTATATCTCTCCCTCTTTCTTGCTCTTTCTCTCTCTCTCCCTCCTCTCTCTCTGTATCTCCCTTCTCTCTCTCTTTTTTTCTCTCTCTCTCTGTCTGTCTGTCTCCTGCTCTCTCTATCTATTTATTCCTCTCTCTCTCTCTCGTGACACCTGTTTTCCTCATCCCCCATTTCTAACAATATATCTATCTGTAAGTAGGAGCTTACTTTGGGAACCACAAGTGACGAGCGTTGTTGAACATCGACACGAGTTCCGTTCGCGTCGGCCCCTGCCTCGTGACCTCGTAGCGTCGGCGATACTCCTCCAAGTGTTGTACGTTGAGTACGCTCTCTCCTGCTCGCAATTCATCCTCGTTCCTCGATAGCGGCTTCAACGGAAAAAAAACAACGAACATTTAGCTTGGGCGATGTCGCTCTTGGCTCTCTGGGGGGTTTGCACACTAGTTTATTGCTTGCGCATTCCTCTTTTACTTAATTGAGTATTAATTAACAATGATTATGCGACTCCTACATATCAATCAGTATTTGCTAGCTGCTGGGCGTTATTGAACCAACTATTATCCAGAACAAGTAAATTCCCTTCCCAAGCTGTAGATTAATTGATTGTGTGGTACGTACATTAGACTACATGTATTTGGGCAAAACATTGATGGCAGTGGCTGGAGGTACGGTAGCCGTCGGTCGTTCAAGCCCCTTTTTTGCGTTAGGGTTAGGATTAGGGTTAGGGTTAGGGTTATGGTATGGTTTAGGGTTAGGGTTAGGGTTCTAGCTCATCTAAACTCTCAAACCGTGAATTTATTTCCCAAAGCGTTATTTCGAAATCTAGCGCCACCGCCGCCATCTTTGTCTCGTTAAGTATGAAAGCGAATGGACTCCCGTACCCGTAGCCTCGAGACATTAAGATACGGCTACCGTACCCGTAGCCACTGCCAACATTGATTTCGTTCTACCTCATCAGGCATTCACAGTCTAACATCTTCTAAATATTGGGGGAGGGTGTAGCGGTTAACTCCTTACCCGCGTATGTTCATAAGGAAACTCTTTCGCTGGGTGGTAGCAGACGATAGTTGATCCATCGTCGGTGAGAACGATTCTATCCTCGTTCAATGTATCACGGGACGACACGCTCGAACATGACCGTGACTGTACGGACGAAGCTGTAAATAAATAACGTTTAAACGTACACGAATAACTAACTATTTTAACTATATTTATCACATTTTACACTAATGTTACCACGATAGAGCTGTATCGATTCACTATACGTCTATTTATGTCATACTTTTCTGTAGTGAGTTAAAAATGTTTCGTAAGATGATCGCACAACTTCTTGTAGTGGATTTTTGCACAAGGGAGACATTACTCCCTGCACCGGCCATATTGAATAATGACGAACTCTCGGGTCCTACTAAACAGCGAAATGTGCTACTAAACAGCAAAATGTGCAGGAATGTGCGTGGAATGTGTGCGCAATGTATAAAAANCCTACAATCTTACCACTACACCTACATTCTACACCTATATCTACATTATCTACACCTACCACCTAATATCCTACATCTACACCATACTATCCTATATGCTACATCTACACATCTACATGTCCTTATACATCTACATCTATCATCTATCATCTTAGCATCACATCTATCACCTACACTTACACCTACACCTATAATTTACACTGCATAAAAACTCATTCTTTATTTTTGTCTATATCAAAAAAATTCTCGTGTGGGGCGCCCCCATACCCGCCTCCTCCCTCGCGTGCGTACCGAATATACTGAGGGGGACGTATCCCAACGCAAAAATGCATCACTTCAGAGAGATGAGTGTGACGCGAAAGCGGAAGTCGAAATGCGCGCTAGAGCAGCGTTACCATTCTCAACTGATCTAAAGCATGAACACTACACGTACATCTATATTCTAAGCATCTACACCTTATCACGTACTCTACTATATTCTACATCTATCACCTAGATGGCCTACATCTACACCTACATCTACACCTACATCTACACGTACACGTAAACGTACATCTAGCACGCAGCCCTACAATACAACACTTCTTACTCAGCAGGAATAGAAGGAGGAGGAGAAGATCAAGAAGAAGAGGAAGAAGAAGAAGAGCAGCAGGAGGAGGAGGAGGAGAAGGAGAAGAAAGAGGAGTAGGAGCAGGAGAAAGAGAAGTAGAAAGAGAAGAGTAGAAGTAGGAGGAGGAAGAAGACTTCGAAGACGAGGACGAGGACGAGGACGAGGACGAGGAGGACGAGTAGGCGGGCGGCACCGCGACAGACATGGATCGCTTGCCGCGGCAGCCTAAGCAGTTCAGGGGCACGCTGCCGACGCTGCCCCTGCTCCGTGTCGACGACATACTGAAGATGTTTGGAGCGTACGGCCGCTTCCAGGTCAGCGTCGTACTGCTCCTCAACCTCGTCAACCTCTTCTGGGCGAGTCAGCTGCTGTCGCTCATGTTCATCTCCACCGTGCCGCCGTTCCACTGCGTCGTCGACGGCCTGCCGACGTCGGTCGACGTCGGCGGCAATGTCACGTTGCCGCAGTGTACGATCGTGTACTACGATACCGACGTCAACGTGACGACCGACTGTGAGCAGTGGGCTTACTCCAAGCAATGGCCGCACACGATCGTCGGCGAGGTGAGTGTGTGCACGTTAGCGAGAGTTACTAGTGTTAGTGGAGTAAGGTAGTCCGTAATACAGCATGTAGTAAGTAGTAAGTATTAAGTAAGTGCTAAGTAGCTAGTAGTGAAGTAGTTTAAGTTAATAGTAAGTAAGAAGTAAATTATGTAGTAAGTAGTAAAGTAATTTGAATAAGTATTAAGTAGTAAATAGTAGATAAGTAGTAGGTAATAGAGTAAGTAGTAATGTAAGTACAGAATAATCTGCTGTATATAAATAACAGTAAACCACGCTATAAAACTTTTATTTGGTATATAATATAGATAATTTATACATGGGTTAGTAAGTTAGACAATATATTTGTATAATGATGTTAAAAGCTCTTTAGAATATGGAAAATAACGCGTGCACGTACTACGCGTCTGTATCGCAAGTCACTCACCTGTGCAAATCAGTGTCATCACTAAAGAATTAATTAGTCTATATAGTCAAGCACTTCAATAGACTCGCACCTACCATAAATGTTGGAAATGGTGTTTATATAAACACGGTGGGTGGTTTGCAAATAGAGCATTCGTCAATATTAGCTTAAGTATGAGATAAAATGTGTCCGATAAAGCGTGCAAAGCCGACGTTCTTGGCAGAGTGCATAGCTAGGCGGATACGTTTCTCAATGAGCCACTAACTAAATACACAAGCTAGGAAATATCTATTACGACGAGACTGAACTCTTTTGTAACACGTTGACTGATTGCATTGTGTTGGTGGGTGGAACAGACGGTACAAGCGCGCGCGCAGGGACGCTGGAATTCGGGACATCATTGTCAAAAACATCGTTAATAATTATGACACCACGAGTCTAAAATCTCATAATATTTGTACACTGCTTTTACATTTATTATTACATTTTTATACTCATGATGTCATACCTACGCATGATGTTTCTGACAACGGGGCCGGTCTACGCGTTTACATAAGGGAATCCAAATAGGAACCTGCACCTATGGCATCATGGCTAACGCGCGCTGGTGGTATGTCATAATATCAACAGGTATGATGTAGTCTTCTAAACTGAGAAATTCGCTTTTATAATATCGCCCTATTCTTGCGCCTAGCTAAAGGCAAGTGCGTAGGTAAAGTATGTAGCTTCAGATAATTCGGAACCACGCCACCAGATGCCGCTAGCGTCGATCTCGGAAATTGTCTGCCGAAATCATGAACGTCACTGATTTTTTGCTCGGCAGTGGGATCTCGTCT